TTCTTTCAAACAGTTTAAAAAACATACGCAAATCACTCGCACAAAAGAAGGAGATGAAGTTCAATTGATATGGTAATTAAAATTAGCATTAATGTAGTTAATTGTATTTTTTAGGTAAATATATAATTAATTTAATAGAGGTGGTATTGTTGCAATATTCTTCATATCAGGTAGGAGAAATAAAAATTCCCCCAAATTAAAAACCAATCTAGGAACCTAGTCGTAGAAAAAACATACATTGCCCAAACCCAACCCAATTACAGCAAACCAAATCTAAAAAAAAAGGTCAAACATTAAGATAAATTCATAAGAGCCCACAAAGCTAAATAAGGGTTCCTTCCATGCTTGTGGTGATGCTGGACGAACAGAATCCAAAAAAAACCCGAGTTTGTGGCGGATAATGATAAGCGGAAGAAAATAGCCTCAACATCTTCGTGGATGTTGCAACTTGCAATCGAAGAGAATAGAGAAAGACGGCAACACTCGGTAGCAACAAATTTATGGTAAACGAAAAATTTAGGAGAAGATTTCTTGTGGAGAAGAAAAAAGAAAGGAATAACGAAGATAAGTGCAGAATTTCTTGAGATGTGAAAAAAATGGGGACAAAATTATTTGAAATGCAAATTTGGCACCTAATGAAATTTTTGTATTTGGTTTCAAAATAATTGGGGTGGAGCTCGGTGTAAATTGGGGGGAGATGAAATTTCAACTAACCATGGTTGTTAATTGCTACCCTTTCTTTATCAGAAAAAACAAAATAATAAAAAACATAATAGAACCAGCATTTAACCGGTGAGGGCAGTGCCCTCACTGGTAGCATCGAATTTGCCGGTGGTTCTTCGGTTGGGCATTTAATAGCCATCTATATCTACATCTATCCCCTTTTTCCATTATATAATTCCCGAATATGCTGAGCCTAAGTGGCAGGCTCGCATGCTTTGGGATTCTAGGTGTCAAAATTTCATGCTTTATTATTTGGCTTGGATAAATTTTAATTTAATTCTAATCCAAAAATAATTAGATTCATATTACCATAAATATGTTGATTTATTTATGATCGTTTAAATGTATTAATTGTATTTTTAATACTCCTATTATTTTCTATTATAACTGTTGAATTGTAAATGTATTTTACAAGTTGATAACTTTTGTATTTCTTATCGGTTTTACATATATAATATATCACATTAATCATCTTTTGATGAGCTTCGATTTGACATCCATATTATATATATAAAACAAAAAAATTATATTTAATAATAAAAAAATATTTATTAAAATTATTTAGAAAAATAAAATTTATTTCTCAATTAATATATTTACGTTTAATATAACACAGGTAAGTCGCACAAGTAACAAATATCATAGTAAAATATATAATAATATATATTTTTTTATGATTTAAATTTTTAACTACTTTTTCTCATTAATTTTAAATTTTAAGAAAAATTTTTAGCAAGAACCTGTGTATTACACGAGCGTTGTACTAGTATATTTATATATTTATATAATGGACTAATCCTTATTATCATGATTGGCATGATTTTGGGTGAGAAATATTTTCGTCTATATTTGTCATTTTAATTAATATTTATGTATTAACAAATCTGCATGAAAAACATAATTAATTTTATAAACTCAATGACTATTACTCATTAAATACAAATTGGAATTAATTGAAATTTTGACAGTACATTTATTAGATATATTTTCAATAAGATCTTATATTAATTTAGTAGTAATTTATTGACACAATTCAAAAAATTCTTATGAAAATTTATTTGATTAAATATATTATCATTTATGATTGTAGGTATTAATTTAATTAATTATATTCACTATTCAAAATTACTTAAAATATCTAATAAAATAATCAGAATAACTATGTTTAAATCAGAATAACTTAAAATGTAGTCAGTTTAACTATTAAAATGTACATCCTACTGAATATATCATATGCAGTGATTATACTATTGAACATTTAAATAATATTTCACCTTAGAAGTATCTATGTACATCAAAGAACTATTAATTTTTTAAAAAAATATATATTTTTTTTCCTTATATAATATTTTGTAAATGAAAAATGAGTTAATAAAAGAACAATGTATAATAATTTAAATTATAGCACTTGTAATTATAGAAATATATAGTATATATAAATATTCGATTAGATGCTATGTAACTCATTATATAAGTTGAAAAAATGAATTAAGGAATTAAATATAAATAAAAATAAAAATATAAAAATAAAATATTTATTTATCCATAAAAATTTGTGTGTTGCGTAAAGATTAAAGTTACTAGAAACTAAAGTTTATTTATCAAATTTTTTAACATTTAATGCACTTAATAGTTATAGCGGAAGATAAATATTATGGTTAAACGTTGGCCAATTATCAAAGAATGTGCAAATTATGAATTGTTAAAAAAACTATAAGACTATAATAAAACAATTTTATAAGTATATACAAGTAATTTGCATGCAAATATCATATGATCTTATACATTTATAATATTTTAGTAAACTTATAAATAATAAAATTTATATATTAAATAGTCAAAAACTATATAAAAGAAATAAAAATAGAAATTAACAATAATAATAAATGAATAAATGTCATATTATTACTGAATAGAATATTGTGGAGAAAATAGAAGTGGTTCGCTCATTGAACATAATATTTTTTTCTAAATATATATTAATAGATAACAATACCATGGTTTTTTAGTCTTTGAATTGTTGCTGGTCTTTTTACTAATTGTGGTTGACAAATTTAATTGTTCTGGTCAAATTATTGATTTTCTGAAACTTAAGATTGAGAAATTGAGAAAAATCAAACACCCACGGCATGTATAACTTACAAGAATGCAAGCACTAACATTATATTATAGATATACTTATTACTAATAATGATTATTGTTAATAGCAACTAAAAAAGATTGGTTTGTAAAATAAAGTGTTCATAAATAAACAACATAAAAAATGAGAAAAATTGTCTGCAACTCCAGCTTACACGTTCGGTAATAATAGTAGCCATTTCAAATTGAATGAAGTTTTATTCTTCACATAAAATTATTGTCTGCCATTAAAGTTATTTGAGAGAAATTTTTCAATCGTAACTTTAATGGTTTATTCTGTAATAATAATAATAACCATTTCGTATTTGTATAAAAAAAATTACTATCATGCGACATCAATGTGAAATACAAAATATATTTGGGATTAAAGGGTACATTGATATTTAGGGATGTTTCTTCTTTATATTTTAACAAGAACAACAATTTTTTTTTTTTTTTCCAAAAAAAAAGCAATTTACAGTCAATAATCCAAAGGCTAAATAGCCTTAAAGTACAAACTAAACAATAGAGACCTCCTGCAAGAGGTCTAGACACCAAACTAACCTACCAATAACACAATAAATCAACAATCCCAAACAACAAATGCCAGTGCCCCAAACAACAGACTAACAAGACACAAAACAAATAAAGGGCAGACATGCTGAGGTCCCTTTACTGCAGAAAAATCAGAACAACAAGAAAAAATCAAACTAGCCATGAACAAAGTAACAGAAGAAAAAAAACACTACTGAACCAAAAGGACCTAGTGCTTCCATTCCCTGCATTTCTACTCAGCCACCAGCTTGATTTTTTTGAATTCCAGCCATTCACTGTGAGCAGCACTAAGAAGAGTTCTTTCTGGTAGCCAGACTTCCTCAAACTTCCAAAGGTTCCGGGCTTTCCAAAGCCACCATAATATGTAAGTAGTCAGCTCAATTCTGGCCTCTGAGATCTCTTTCTTGTCCACAGAACAAACATTCCTCCACCACATTGGAAATGATTCAGATTGAGTGGCTGCATTCCATTGAACAGGGGCTAAAGACCAAATTAATTTGGCTTTGTTACAGTGCAACAGAACATGCTCAATGGATTCCAATTCCTCACCACAAGCACAGCAGATAGGATCCAATTCAAAGCCTTTTTTTTGCAGATTTAGGCAAACAGGAAGGGAGTTATTACAGCATTTCCAAATGAAATGTTTAAGCTTATGCTTAACTTTGATACTCCAGCTTCTATTTCTGAGCTTCCTATCCCTTTGAGCACTGTCACTTCCTTCAGCCATATCTAGCTCTCTCAGTCTGTTTAGCACTAGGTGAGAATAAGAACTTGCAACAGAAAACTGACCCTTCACATCTAACCTCCATATCCATTTATCAGTCATAGTAGGGTTTAGAGATGTCATGTTTAGAATTTCTGCAACATCTGTTGGATCAAAACATTCCTGCAGCAAATTTCTGTTCCAAGACCTCCCATCTTCTTGAATAAGCTCCTTAACCAAAGTAACCCTGCTCATGCCTACCTCATTTCTAACAGGAAGACCCCCTATCTTGCCTGAAATCCATGGATCATGCCAAATGTTAATGAATTTCCCTTGCCTCACCTCTACCCTAAAACAGTCCTGGAATTTGTTCTTCACCTCAATTCAATTACTCCAAAGCCAGGAATTGTTGTATGTTTTCTTAGCTTGTAAAATGGAGCAGTCATGAAAGTATTTACCTTTTAGCACTTTGGTCATGAGAAGATTTGGATGAGTAGCAACTCTCCATATTTGTTTGAGTATGAGGGATTCATTGAACAGCTCCACATCCCTAAATCCCAGACCTCCAACTGATTTAGGCAGAGTCATCAGAGACCATTTCTTCCAGTGAATTCCCTTCTGCAAATTCCCCTTTCCCCACCAAAAACAGGCTGATAACCTAGCTATCTCCTGACAGACCCCCTTTGGTAGACAGAAACAAGACATAGAGAACACAGGAAGTGCCCCCTATTACAGCTTTCACCAGAATCTCTTTGCCAGCACTTGAGAGGAATTGATTTTTCCAGTTCACCATTTTATCTCTCACTGCCTTCAGAATATAGTCAAAGGACTCTTTTTTAGATCTACCAATACCTAATGGTAATCCTAAGTATCTGGTAGATCTATGAGGCTGAATCTCTCCCAACATATGACAAATGATAGATCTTTGAGCAGATTGACAGTTTCTACTAAAAAAGATGAAAGATTTCCCCATATTAACCTTTTGACCAGTGAATTTGTAGTATTTAAGCAGCAGAGACATAAGCATTGAGGCATGGGAATCATTTGCTTCACACATTATTAAGGTGTCATCTGCAAACATCAAGTGAGATACAGCATGACTATGCTTGGATATTTTCAATCCCTTAAAAGTTCCTCTCAGTTCCTCATTTTTGATAAGTCTAGAGAAAACCTCAGAAATAATAATGAAAATATAAGGTGAGATAGGATCACCTTGTCTGATGCCCCTAGATGCAGAAATGTAGCCTTTCATATCTCCATTTATGTTGAAAGAGAAAGAAGTAGAGGAGATGCAGGCCCAAATCCAGTTGACAAATGTAGGGTGAAAACCCATTTTAAGCATAACCTTCTTGACACTTTCCCACTCAATGCGGTCAAAGGCCTTTTCCATGTCAAGTTTCAAGAGCATGTAACATTTCCTTCCTGAGGTGTGCCTGTTAAGGAAGTGGACACTTTCTTGGGCAACAACAACATTATCCAATAGCTGCCTTCCTGGGATGAATGCAGCCTGATTCTCACTGATGCAGGAGGAGAGGCAGGGTTTAATTCTCAGAGATAATATTTTGGCAATAACTCTGTAAGCCACTGCACATAAGCTGATGGGTCTGTATTGCTTCAAGGTTGCAGGATTCATGCACTTTGGAATTAGTGAGATAACAGTGTGGTTCCAATTCCTGAGGAGTTTGCCAGACTCAAAGAAGCTGAAAATGGCTTTACAGAAATCATCACAAATCACACTCCAAAATTTTTGGAAAAATAGTGGACTCATGCCATCTTGTCCTGGTGCCTTACCTGGATCAAAACTGAAGAGAGCTTCTTTAATTTCCTCTTTGGTGACTGGTTCAATGAGTGCAGTGTTCATATCAGCAGTGATTGTTTGGGGAATGAGTTGTAAAATCTCAGAATCTCCTGATGAGCCTTCAGAACAAAATAACTGCTCATAGTACTTGCAGATATGGAGTTGAATATCCTCTTCATTTGAGTACACCTGATTCTGATCATCCACCAAGTAAGATATTTCATTTATCTTCCTTCTTTGCATTGTGATAGCATGAAAGTACTTGGTGTTGGAATCTCCTTCTTTGAGCCATTGGGATCTGGCCTTTTGTGCCCAAAATATTTCTTCAGCTCTAGTGATTTTGTGCAATTCTCCAACCAATCTTTGCCACTCTGCCCAATCTCTGTGATTTCCCAGTGTACTCATCTCTTCAAGCCTTTGAGTAATAAGCTGCTTCTCTCTGATCTTATCCCTTCTAAAAGTAGAACTCCATTTCAGAAGGGCCACTCTAGTAGCTTTAATCTTTTCAGAGAATTGAAACATTGGGGTGCCAGATTGCTCAATGGACCAGCTTTGTTGCACAGCTTCTTGAATTCCCTCCCTTTTCAGCCATCTTTTGTCAAAAAAGAATCTTTTACCTCTAGCTTTGCTGTTCTGGGGGTTGTCAGATAAAAGAAGAAGTCTATGGTCAGAGGCACTCTTAAAGAAATTCTCCACCATTGAATGCTGATGATCCTCAAGCCAGTCAAAAGATGCAAATATTTTGTCTATTTTTTCCTCTATAAATCCTTCAGCTTCCCTGTTATTTCCCCATGTGAATCTGTGGCCAAGTTGGTGGATTTCCTGCATACCCACTCTAGAAATAAAAGCATTAAAATCAACAAACTCTCTCTCAGCCTTTTTCCTACCCCCATTCTTCTCACTATGATCACAAATTTCATTCCAATCCCCTCCCAAAAGCCATCTCCTACCCCAACTACTGCTAGCATTCTCAAGAAATTGCCATTGCAAGCATCTCTCCCTCTTACAAGTACTAGCATACAAGAAAATCACCCACACATCCCCATTCCCCCCAGGATCATTAGTAAGCAGTTGAATACAAAAAGAGTTACCCAAAATTTGCTTAATAACAATATTTCTATCCCACAAAACAAGCAGCCCCCCCACTAAGCCCTTGAGGTTCCACTGCAAACCATCTCTCTCTAAAGCCTATTTTATTACATACTGATCTAATAAAATTATTTGATTTTTTTGTTTCTGAAAGAAAAATAAAATCTGGGTGGTGGAGCCTTGAGGTCTCCTTAAGTTGTGAAATTGTGGAGGGTCCACCCAACCCTCTACAATTCCACATGATAAGCTTCATTGGTGAAGTGGGGGCCACTCAAGGCTGGCCACCCCCACCTCCAAAGAGCTACTCTTAGATTTCTTGTTACCTCTCAATTCAGCTTCTGATCCTTGTTCTCCAGTTTCTTCAATCACAAGGCCTCTCTTCTTTCTTCTAGGTTGTATCTCCTTCTTCTCAGGAATGGTTCTGAGGGCTCTGCTATTTTGGCTTCCAGCATCAATTGATTTTCTTGTCCATCCCCTTCTTTTTTGAGCAGTGCTTGTCCTTTGGTCATTCAGGTCAGTTGTGGTATGGATATGCTGCTTAGGAGTAGTGTCCATCATTTCTGTTTCTGAAACTAGCATTAATCTGGGAATGGGGCCTTGGATAAATTTTTCTCCTCATTTGCAATGCATATTTCCTTTCCCTTGCTCAACTGACTGTCATTTGCAATGCATATTTCCTTTCCTTTGCTAAGCTGACTATTACCCGGGACTTCACTTTCAGCAGCACTAATGTCTTTCCCCATCACTGATTTTACTCCACTGCCTGCTGATTTGAATCCTGTGTCTTCTTCTTGAGGTGTGGAATTTGTTTCTTGGCCAGGAGTTTGCTGGTCCTCTGAGTGGCTCCCCGGTGTGGTGGCAGAATTTGATTTATACCCATAGTGACCATCCGTTGCCCTCAGCCAATCACCATATTGTCCCTCCTTTAGGCACCCCTTTGCAATATCGTCATCTTTCTTGTTGCAAGCTCTCTCCAAATGGCCAATTTGACCACAATAAAAACAAGCATTCACAAGCTTCTCATACTGGAATATAGCTCTAATCAGAGTGTCATGAAGTTGAAGGCAAGCTACTCGAGGTAAGGGTTTGGTTACATCAATTACAGCAAGCAATCTTAGAAAGCTTCCCTTTTGCCCCCCAGCTTTGATCACAGAAGCCGATTTGACTCGCAAGAACACTCTTCCGACCTTTAATCCTACTTCAGTACACAGCCAGTTGAGAGGAATGTTTCTCACCTGAATCCACATTTGCAACTCTGAGAATTGTTGATGTTTTTCAGTCATCCCTTCCTCCCATTCTGCTAAAATTAGATATTGATTTTCGAAGACCCAGTTGGTCCCCTTCATCACTTTGGTCTTGTCTTCAATACACCCAAACAAGAATTGAAAAAAGTTTGTTTTCAACTCTCGAACCTCCATTTGATTTTGGAGCTGCCATATTGATCCCATAGTTCTCCTGATACCAATAAGACTTGCCCTGCGGTCCCCTATTATTTTCCCAAATAAGCTCCTTTTGCATTCTGATGCACTGATTTTAATGTCATCATCCTTGAGAGTAATGATCTCGATTTTCGATTCAGACAGTTCTATATTTTGCAATCGACTTCCCAAATCATTAGCATCATGAAAGGCGCGCGATTCGCCAGACACGTCAGATTCCATATTTCAACCCCAACCCTAATTTTTGCAGCGAAAAATGGATAAGTACACCTTTACCAACCTTTGATGGACTCAATCTCTTCCCCAAGAGAATCGAAAGACTTCCCCCCAAGAGAAATTCAAGCTCTCCTCAAGAGAATATTTGCTCCCCCAAGAGAGAATGCTCCTCAGCTACACAATATGCTTCTGTACAAGAACAACAAATTCATTTATAAATATTTTGCTAATTCTCTACATTTTGCTCATGTGTTCGGAGGGAGACCGAATTTGAGGTTCCATTAAACAAAAAGATAGAGATATCAAGAAGAATCTTGTGGAGGGAAAAAATTATTTTCCAATAAATGAACCCTATTTTGAGTTGTCGGATGCGTAAGCATTGATCTTGATTTAAAAATATTAGTTTTTTAATATCTTTGTAACCGGTCATACCATCAATCTATTTATAATGATATTTTTAAGAATATTGAAATAAATTTCATTTTTTGTAAATTGATTTGCAAAAACATAAACTTTTAATTAATTAATAACTTACTAAAACAATTGTCATAGAACCATATTCCCTGTGCATCGCATGGGTTTAACACTAGTTTAAATGAAAGAGGAAAAAGTTATTTTCATCCCGCTCTAAATACGTTTTACACACCGTTAAATAATAAGTTAAAATTTTCACTTCATAAAGTACAAAATAAATTATACGATGAGTTATGCAACAGACAAACGAAGATAATTTCTAAAGTGCGAAATAATTATGCGATAGGATATGCGAATTAAAGATGAAGATATTTGATAAAGTGCGAAACAATTATGAGATCACTAAACAACAAACAGGCGAACATAATTGATAAAATGCGACACAATTATGAGACACATCGAAGATAATTGATAACATTCAGAACAGCTATGCGATCAAATATACGACACAGGCGAAGATAATTGATAAAGTGTGAAACGGTTATGTGATATACTAGCGAATATAATTGATGTGAAAAGCTATGCGACATACAGACGAAGATAATTGATAAAATGCGAAAGGATATGCGACAGGCAGATGACGATAATTGATAAAGTGCGAAATACTTATGGGAAGAGATAAGCGTCAGACAAGCGAAGTAATCGATAAAGTGCGAAATAGTTATGTGATAAACTATACGACAAACAGGCTAAGATAATTGATGCAAAAAGTTATGCTACAGACAGACGAAGATAATTGATAAAGTCGATAATATTATGCAATAAACTATGCGACAGAAAGGGGAAGATAATTTGTAAAGTGAGAAATATTTATACGATATGATAAAGACACACAAGCGACCGACAGGCGAAGATAATTTATAAAGTGCGTGTACGATAAACTATGTGACAGAAAGACGAAAATAATTTATAAAGTGCGAATTATTTATACGATATAATACGCGACACACAAGCGAAGTTTATTGGGTAAGTGTGAAACACATTATGCGATAAAGCATGCAACAGACAGGCGCAAGTAATTGAGCAAGTGTGAATTACTTATGCGATAAAGTTTGCGACTGACAGACGAAGAACATGAGCAAGTGCGAAACAAATTATGCGATAATTATGCAACATACAGACGAAGTTAATTGATAAAGCGCAAATTACTTATGTGATAAACTGTACGACAGGCAGGCGAAGTTCATTGAGCAAGTGCAAAACAAATTATGCAATAAAGCATGCAATAGACAAGAGAAGTTAATTGAGCAAGTGCGAAATACTTATGCGATAGACATGCAAAGGTAAGTAAACAAGTGAGATCTCATTATGCGATAAATTAAGCGACAGACAGACAAAGATAATTGAGCTAGTGCGATATCATTATGCCATACACTACGGGACAAACAGACAAAGATAATTGATAAATTGTGAAATATTTATGTAACAACTATGCAAAAAAGAGGCGAAGAAAATTGAAAATTTGCAAAATATGTATGCGATAAACTACTCGACATACATGTCAAGATAATCGATAAAGTGAAAAATATTTATACGATAAACTACGCGACAAATAGGTCAAATAATCGATAAAGTGCAAAACAAATTATGCGACAAACAAGGCGAAATATAGGCAAAGATAATTCAACAAGTGCGATCTAGTTTTACGATAAAATATGCGTCAGATAGGCAAAGTAAATTAAGTAAGTGCATAAAGATGCATAAATTGTGTGAACAATTTGGTCAATCGTGGATCTGCCGCATTTTAGTGGCAAATCAGCTTCTTGCATTTGTTATTACAATTTTTCAGTTTCTTCTCAATTATCAACTTTTCGTGTAAGCCCTAGAAAGGTCGTCCTCTCGGGAAAGTTGTACCAGAAACACGTGAAGGAGGTTTTCAACATCATGAATCCCCAAAATTTCTAAGCATGGAAACACGTGAAGGAATTCCCATAGGGACGAGAAATGTATGTAGCTAAAATGAAAATACAAAATACATTTCTCATGTCTTATTTTAAGCTGGAAATCCACATGTAACTCAATCTCGACCCTGAGAATTCATCAGAATAAATAGAAAACCACTTGTAAATTAATTTACGTTGGTTGTTTTATTTTGTTGGACTTTGGGGTCTACAACAAGAATGATTTTTTTTTTAAGTGTTAAGTATGTGTTTAATCAAGATTCATGTGTTAAAAAAAATTGCATGGATAATGAACCATTCATGTCCGACAACATAGTTTTTCCAACAAAATTAGAGGCAATGTTCAAAGGAAAATTTCTAATTGAAAGGAATTTTGAAGAACTGCGAAACAAGTGCGATATATCATAGTGTATAATGAAAAAAATAAATAAATAAGACTAAACAATAGCACAGAACTGCGAACAATATGAAGGTTATAACGGAATGATCAAATCAATATAATAAACGATATGTGTAATCGCGTATTCAGATCAACCTCATAATTTATCAATATGCGAACATGTTTTGAATATTATTCGCATAATATGAACCTCATTTTCTGACTACTGTATTTCACATAAGTTTAGACATGCAAGATGTGGAACTTTTCGTCAGAAATCTTATTGGTCGTCACTTCAAGCAATTCTTGTGAAACTTTTCTTTTTCATGCCTAAATTTAATACCATTAATTCTTTCTTTTTGTTCAAACTTTTTAAATCTACTACATTTTTTTTTAATTCTTTTGTGTTAAACTTATTTGGATCTTATTTTTCTTTGTTTTTAAGATTACACTTCAATGGCGATATCATAGAGCTATTTCAAAAACAAAGTACTCCAAAAGGATTTTAGATTTTAAAATATTTTATATCGAGATTATGCAAAGACAATGCGTAATTGTATATTGTTCGTAGTTCTGCTTGATCGTGCAATAAAATTTATTTCTTGTTTCAAATATGCGGGGTTATGTGAGTAATCGCATACAATACGCACTTCTCAGTTGTTGTTAAAATTTGATCTCCAAATTATATAATATCAGCAGTTCTTAAGAAAAAGCATTATAATATTTCAATTAGACATTTTCATTAAGATCGATCTAATTATTACATCGACTCAACTACTTTTAAGAAGCCTAACATCGGCACAAACATTCAACACTTCAAAAAGTTTACAAGATGCTATATTCTTTAAATATCTATATATAAATTGAAGACAAGTCGAAAAGTAAAATGAGATATCCTATTCAATTGTAGCGCCCACTTACTTACCTTTAGAAAATACAAGAATTTTCATAAATAATTTGAAAAATTTTCAAACTTTTATTGGGCAACTACTAAAAACCTTTCTTTCAAAACTTTCTAAAAACTTTCTCTTTCTGAACTTTTCTAAAAACTTCTTTCTTTCTCAAACTTACTAAAACTTTATTTTCTGTTTTCTCTTTCTCTTTAACTCGACTCAAGCCTCACACTTGGGTCCTTAGGGAATTAACTCC